TGTAGTAAGACATTCAGGGATTTCTAACACACAATTTTCTGTATGGAATAATAGCATTACCATTTTTTAAATTTTTTATGTTAACTTTAATTATCTGTTCTGTTCTAGGTGGAATAGTGATAACAGAAGAATTTTTTGTAATCTCGTGATATTGCATGGGTATCCTTGTTGTGGGTGTGACTAAAAGATCATTGCTCAAATCAATGTTGGCATTCAATATCTCTTTCAGGTTATCGAGTCCTAAAAGGCATTGGAAATGTTCGTGAAACTTGAATAAATGAAATTTCATGAGAATATTTGGATTCTTAAAAATCTTTGGACAAGGTATTGTCATACTATATTGTTCGATAGATGAACCAAGTGCTGAAGTGATTTGAAATGGGTCTTTTTGAATATGTCTTGAAAATAATTTTTTCGCAATTTCAGGGTGTATGAAAGATTTTGTACTTCCAGTGTCAATCAATACTTTGAGATTATACTCTGGAAATACAATGTATGGTAGTTTGCTACATTTGTCGGTTAAACTCATAATTTCTATTGACTTGGGTGGTCCGTTGAGACTTGTGGTTGTATCTTTACCGAGGCTTCTTGCCCTAAAAAATCGTCAGAATTATTCTGAGAATAAGCGCATTCATAATTGTCATCGTTTGGAAATTCTACAACAGATTGGTCTTGTACACACAAGTTAAACATTGCCTGTTCTGCGTTTACACCAGGTCTGTTAAAATTTCTACCTTGAAAATTTGGTTGCTGATACGTCTGTCTAGTGGATGTACTCATCGGAGTAGGCCTTGGCAGATTATTTATCTGATTAGGTCTAAAAACGTTATTATTGTGAAAATTAGTTCTATTCTGATTAGGATTATTTGGTCGTACATTATTAGGACTAAATTGTCTTTGTAATACTGGACGCTGTACCGCTTGGTATTGTTTCCTATAATTACCAAAGTTGTTGTTCATATGGCGAACTAATTGCATATTATTTCGATTAACATTTTTATGTTTATCTACCTTATGATCAAGCTGAAAGTCGTTAGTTAATATATTCAGAGCTTCATTCAAGTCTGTAGGATTTTTCGTCCTCATGAGTGATCCTAGAGGTTCCTTTAAACCTTTTAGAAATACTCTTAATGCTACGCTTTTGCAAAAATTACATATTATCTGAGCTTCTTCACTCACACAATGTGTAGTTAAAAATGATATTTGTAAATTCAATAAGCTCTGAACTTTGTTATAAAATTCAAAGGGGGTTTCATTGTTCTGTTTCAATTCACACAATTCTATATTTAGAGTAAATACGTCACGCTTGTCTTGATATGTATTTAAAAGTGCAGTTTTCAAGTCTGTCCAATTTTTTATAATATTGCTACTAATATTTAAAGCTGCATTACCTTTGATTTTCGCTAAAATACTACTCATAAGATATTCGTTCTGGAAGTCATTTTCATCCTCTAATCTATAAAATTTATTCACTAACGTTTCGCAAATATCTATGAATCTTGGTAATAATTCTTGTTGACCATAAAATTCGGGTATCATGTTAAGATACTCTGGGCGTAATGACATGCTTGATTGATTTACTTGACTGTTGTTCATATTGACTGTACTATTTAGTATACTAGGTCTTAATTGCAAATTCCTTAAACTATGTTGGATATGTTCTGTATCCGACTGTGAGTCCGAATCAGTGTCACTCAATGTATCATCAAACAGCTTTTGATTGTTTTCACCCCTGTAAGACATTCGTACTTACAGTAGTAATCCAATCCGTCCCATGTGTCCGTATGCCTGGGCCACTGCTGGGTTGCCTGTCCTGGAGCAGATGTTCCTTCTGTCCTCTGGGCTGCTGTCGTCTTGGTTTCTCGATTTGGGTAGGGTTCTATCCCAAATCTGGTTCCGGTGATCACGGTAACGATATCGATATTCCGTCGGATCGTTCGCGACCAATCGCGGTTGGTTTCGTTATAGCCAGTAAACCGTTGAAACGAACCGAAAATGTCCTTTTTTCGTCTGGCTATCCTACTGCTTGCTGCGCCACTCAAATATCTTTCTTCAACGAAAACGTTTTTAAAAAGATTTATTTTTGAGAATAACCAAATACAATGATGTTAATTGAATGCGTTCTGAATCGAGACTGACTGCAAAGTTGATTATACAAACCAAGGTAAAGAATAAATGAAATACAATACTGTAACTGATAAGAAAGGAACGTGGAGGCAAAAGTCCTTGTTCAGCATATTCTTCTCTGTAGACTGGTACATAACTTACATGAGAATTATTACCTTTTACTTAAAAAATTGTGAAGTAGTGTTATTGCTCTACTCTAAACTCTAAAAACTGCAGATAATAAGCCGAACGCATTTTCCACCACTCTATGAGCTCTGCAAAGTAGGTAGTTGTATATTCGTTCTTTAGAACCACGTTCATGATATCCTGAATATACTTTCATCATATTTTCGGATAGAGCAAAAGCTTCATCTCCAACAAAGTAAAATGGAACTTCTTCCGTTCTTGTTGGCAAGGCAGTGGGCTCAGGAATGTTGAGTGCATTATTTTGTATTTTTTCGTTCAATTCACAGTTGTTGAAGACCCCTCCATCGGATATTCTTCCTTGAGATCCAATGTTTACGTACAAAAAGTAATATTTTGCACCAACAACTGCCAATAATACAATGCTGAAGAAACCCTTGTAATTATAAAATTCACTTCCGCTGTTTATCGGTGCCTGCAGTATAATATGTTTTCCATCGATTGCGCCCAGACAGTGTGGAAAATTCCACAAAATATCATACTCATTTGCTACAGCCATCCATTGCTCCGGTGTTTCTGCCATCTGAAATAGTGACTTACGTTTATTTTCAGCTACGCGCTGGTCCTTCAGAACAAAGCAACACTGAGTGCCCTCCATCTGCCAAACCAAGCAACATTGATTGCCCTCTGCCTCCAAAAAGGAAGAAAGCAGTAGCCCCCAACCCGGAAGAGATAATGGCATCTAAGTACTTTAAATATTTTAAAAAAGAGAACCGAGCAAACGGAGTCAACTTCACAAAAACTTGACGAATGTGAAGCCTATGGTATTTTTTTGGCAAATAAATTAAGATCTTATTCAAAGACAACAAGAACATATGTTCAGCATTACATATCAAATATATTGTTTCTGGGCTGATTATTATTTGAAAGGTAATTTGGGCGCGTTATTGTTGTGGGATTAAGATTTCTAGTTAGTAAAGTAGACACGGACATGGGTGTGGGACCTTGTCGTGGAACATTGTTAGTATTTTGATTCTGTCTGAATGCATAAACGTGAAACTTGTATTTGGTCAAGGCATATTAATTGGACCTGTAGGAAATCTAGGTGGTTGATAAGTGTTGTTAAAGCTTCTATACTGATACGCATTTGTGGGGCGAATAGACATTCGTGGGTATTGCGTAGGTTTTGCAGACATATTTTGAACGTTAGTTTTATTTGTAGGATAATGTGAATGTCGCTTATAATCATTTTGTAGTTGTAAGTTATCGTAACGTTGACCTAATTGCAAGCAATGTTGGAGATTTGTAGGGTTATGAAGTTGTGAATATTCGCGGCGGGGACTTCTTATGCCAGTGATAAATGAATTCAAACCAACACCAACTGAGCTATATCTTGTAAAGCAGTTAGTTTCTCTTAAATTTCTTGCAAAAATTCTGTATGAGTTTGATTAGGCTTTTGGTATGATGAACGTAGGTCTGCCAATAAGTTAGCTTCACTGCGTGCATCTCGATAATGTTGTATCAAAATAACTTTTAATGCTTCCCAAGTTGTGGGTCTATGAATTTTTATTAAATTTGCGGCATCGTCTTTCAAATCTGTTTGAATATCTGATTTTCAAAACGGGAACAGTACCTAAATAATTTAAAACATCGGTTGTAACACCTATTCACAAAGCAGGAGATAAAGAATATATAAGTAACTATAGACCAATAAGTAAGTATAATCTCAAATTTAGCAAAGATATTTGAAAATTGCCTTAAGGTTAGATAGGTTGCATTCTTGGACTCAAATAAGCTATTATCTGAGAATCAGTTTGGTTTCAGGCAAGGTTTGAGCACATCACATGCGGTTTACGAATTAGCGTCTAAAATAATGTGTCATTTAAATAACGGTGATAAGTGCATCGCTTTGTTTTTGGATTTAGCAAAGGCAATTGACACGGTATCTCATGCTATACTCCTCCAAGCACTGGAGTTAGGGGTGCTGTGTTAAGTGTATCTAGAGATTATTTAATGCATAGGATTCAGTGTGTCAGGATTGCGGACGTTCTAAGTGAACCAAACACGGTTCAGCATGGAGTCCACAGTACTTTGACCGATCCTTTTTAATATATATGTAAATTACCTCTGCAGTCTTGCAGTTAATGGCGGTGTAATTGCCTATGCTGATGACACCGTGGTGGTGTTTCATGGAGAGACATGGGAATCAACGGGCGAAAAATTGAAGACTGATTTTGCAAAAATTAAAAACCTTCTGGACACATTTAAATTAACTCTGAATATAAAAAAACTCATTACATTATCTTCTCTATAACCATGGCTAATAGACCAGCATTTAATCAAATTAAGCTTGATAATATAGATGAGCCTTTGAAAGAAGTAAATGAAATTAAATATTTGGGGGTTGTTGTTGATAAGCACTTGAAATGGGACCGACAGGTGCTGTATTTGAGCAAAAAAATTAGAATTTTCATCCATAAATTCTACGTTCTTCGTAACATACTGACATTAAACTACTGTTAATGTTTTACAAAGCACTTGTGATGTCTCTTTTGGTATATGGCATAATTGTGTGGGGTGGGATGTACGGTTCAAATCTTGGGCAGTTAAAAGTGGCGCAGAACCATATTGTAAGGATTATTCTAAAAAAACCTAGACTATATCCCACTATGCAACTTTATTCTCAAGAAATGAACAAGATTAAAATCTTATATATCCTTGCAGTATGTAGTTTTGTACATGCAAATGAGAAATTAAATACAAATTGTGTGTCCCACAATTAGGGTAAATCGAGGTTATATGGCCATAGAGGAGAGATGGCCCAACTCGATATTTTCCTAAATAGTTATTAGAGGGCGTTTTTTTCAATAAGGCGTAATGTACTGTTGTGTGATCGTGCTATACTAGAAACTCTGAGTCAATTAACTAAGTTTAAAGGTAAGTGATTTTAAAATTACTGTTTACATGGGTTCAATAGTTTTTGAATACAATTTTCCACTAGCCAAATTTAATAAAATTTTATTAGTTTTTAACAATCCGTCTGGTGTTTATTATACCATGTGTGGTGTGTTTTATGTTGCCTAAGCGTTTTACGCGAATTAACGTATATACAATCTAAATCATGCTATGGCCATCTTTCCTCGAAGAAACGGAGAGATGGCCCACTCATTTCCTATGTATGATGGCCATCGTAGATCATTTTTGTATTTATTTTAGATGCCAAATATTTATAAAAGAAAATCATTGGAGAGGGCCAAATGGACCGAGGAGCAACTGAAATCTGCAATGAGTACTGTTAAAGATGAGGGATTATCTGTACATCAGGCTGGAAAAACTTACGGTATTCCAAGAAAGACATTGGAAAGGTGAAAGAATGAAGACCATAAGAAAAAATTGGATCCAGATACTACTTTCGGAGCTGCACATGACTGGTTCGGCATATTAAAGAAATGCAAAAAGTGGATCTCCACTTACTAGAGATGATTTGCGAACCATAGCTTATAAATTTGCTGTTCAGCTGGGCTTAAAACATAAATTTAATAATCGGCTTCAGAAAGCTGGTTAAGTTTGGCTGCATTCATTTCTCACCAGAGATCCACAAATATCAGTTAGAAAAGCAGAAAGTTTGTTGTTGGCGAGGTGCACAGCAATGTCTAGAAAGGTAGTAGTTGATAACTTTAAAGTACTTCCGAGTGTTCTGGAAGAAAACAATATCTTGATAAACCCGAAAAATATTTTTAATATGGACGAGGGTGGATTGCAACTAAATACAAGACCGGGGTAAGTTTTGGCAGTAAAAGGATCAAAAGTAGTTTCGTCAGTTGCTTGAGCAGAAAAGGCCGAGACTGTAACAGTTGTTGGCTACTGTAACGCCGAGGGCACTTTTCTTCCTCCTGTCGCTATTATGAAAGGATACAATTTAAGTTAGTTAGTTTTTTAATGTATACTTGAATCCATTTCAAGTGAGACCAGACACAACAACCAGCACGCGTCGCTGACATGATGGTCGTAGACACAAGAACCGAGCAGGGTCGGACTCAAAACTATGGAAATATTAAGGTGATAATATTTCAGAACTGAATATTTGAAAAAGAGACATCAGTAAATAATAACACAACACTACTATCACAGAGTCAATAGAGGTGATTGAAAGTTAAGGGGGGCACAAAAAGTAATTATACATATGTATTTGACAACATCAATATTTTTCACTTTCACTAGAAGAGCTGTCATCATAGATGTTGATAATTAGCGGTTCAATCTGCCTTTCAATTATGTTATCTAGCTCCTACATTGCAACCTCCACTTTCTCCTGAACATGCTTCACACATTTTAATCAGTTTTCTGGTGTGATTCTCTGCAACGCAAGGTTGAACAGCTCTTTCATGTCGGAAAACTTGAATGTTGTGTTGTGTTCAGCAACAAAATTCTTTATATCTGCCCATATGAGCTCAATGGGGTTGAGCTCTCAGTGGTAAGGAGGCAAACGAAGTACCATTTTATTGTGCGCTTTTGCTATCTCGTCCACTATATATTTATCATATTTTGCTCTGTGTTGTTTCACAAGATCTAGAAGTTGTAATTTCAACATAAACGTATCAAAAGGTATATTTTTGCACGTAGCCAGTCCTGTATCTCTGATTTCTTAAAAGATGAATTTGGAATTTTTTCTAATTTCCGAGAATGATACGGAGCATTATCCAGGACCACCACAGAATTGTCTTTAAGACGTGGTAAAATGCCTAAAAACCAGTTTTCGAATGCTTCACCATTCATCTCTTCGTGGTAGTCAGTGTTTTTTTTTATTCAAAACACCATAGTCCTTCCTTCACGAAGCCATCTACACTCCCGATGTGGACAATAATGAGCCTTTTTCCTTTGCCTATAAAGATAAAACTTGTTAAATACGGATGTACATTATATGTCTTTCACAAGAGTACTGAGGCCACGGAGATAGGGACACATTTCTGTATTTTATATACGATGCTATATTGTTTCTCATGATAGCGGGATGCATGTGGTGAGATATATCGGACACTTCAACCAATGCATCATTTAATCTGTTGATGAATCTGGTTAGCTTAAAAAACAAAAAGAAACAGGCAACATCAATTAAACTAAAAAATTATCAAGTGTGACAAACTTATCGAAAAATTTACAAATCAACGCAATGTCTGACGTTGTTAATTAACGTGTTACATTCCGTGACGGACGAGGTATGTTGTCTCTGCAACGCTCGCATTGCTGTAAAAAATCTTGTCATCGATACCATAAGAATTCCAACGTAGAATACATTGATTTCCAGAGTGAACATCCCCTCGTTTTTTCTAGATATCTGATAACGTGTAATGTCTCATTTAAATCACTTTGGCTATGAAAAATTATCTAATAACTATTGTTGGATTTTATAAAATGGAATGTCTGCATTACCTGTAGGGGTTTTAAGCCCAGTTGAAAGCCCATCTAAAAACGCTCTTCTTGCTGACGTTACTGTTTGGTCCACCCAAACTTTTGATTTTGTATGGCCAGCATTTATCCACGTCTCGTCCAGGAAGTAAATTCTACGGTTTTGGCTCCTGTATGTTTTTATTTTTGTCAAATACTCTCTCCTCCATAGTATAATTTCATCTCAATCCATCAATGAACTGTTTCGGCCTCTCTTCTGCCAATTAAAGTTGAGTTTCTTTAATAGCCTGTAGAACGTCGTTTTACTAAAATTCGGCAAATCTGAGTCTTCATTCACTACTTTCAAAATCTTATCAATTGTAGGAATTTCATTCTGGAAAAAGAATTCATGAACCTTCCTTCTGATCGCATGTCTGTCAGCATCATCTATTTCTTTAATTTGGCTATTACGGTTCTGATTCGTTTTAGGTTCAGCAAATGCATTCCGTAATTTATATTCTTTGAGTACTCTAAATACCGATGCACGAGAAACTCCAACTTTATTCGCCACCCTCTGCACAACATCGTTGACGCTGAGCTCAGGTTTTTCCTCCGTTTCACATTTGTAAACATTTAAAATAATTTCTTTCACTTCGATGCTCAAATGGTTTTGTCTTGATCGTTTCCTGGGTGGACCCAATGTAGTTCTCCCTTCATCAGCTGTGTCGGTAGAAGACATGGTCAAAAAACACCAGATATAACAGAACTTATAACAGCGATGCACTCGACGCCACGCCACGGCCTGATTACAACTCTGGTTTTTGTAGACATCAACGCGGCGCAACGGCGGGTTTTGTATTGCTACAGTCTAACTAGGTCTTAAAAAAATGTTTGAAACTGCATGTTTTCCAAATTCATGGAGTTTTATATTGGAGCCACTTCAGGACATTGTATTTAACAAAAGCATCAATATGAGGGGCGGAAAGTTTAAAAAAAGAAAAATAAAAGCTACGAAATGAAACTATTAGTTGAAAAAGCAAGCGCTTCAAACTACAACTTCAAACCGTAAAATGCCTGAACTATAATGAGACCCTCTGCGGGAACATCGATCACGCGCTGATCACGCTTCGAGTTTGCGATGTTGTGGTCTCACTTGGGCTGAATTTTAGTATAAGTTACTTTTTTGGCAAAAGGATTGGCTATTGAGTTTTTAGTTTTTTTTTCTGTTATATGTAATAATAAAGTCTCATAGGTATTTCACGAGTATTCTTATAAAACTCATTATTTTCTTTGTATTTTATATGGCCATCTTACCTTCTATGATATGCCATCTCTACTAAACACTATAGGAGAGATGGCCCACATATAAAAAATACCGATATTTATCAACAAAATGAAAAACCATATTTATAATAAATTTGCACAGAGCAACAAATATTAATTACCATGCCCTACCCTAAAATATTATATTTTTTGTTAAAACCCAATTATTAAAAGTATTACAGACGATTAAAAAAAATATGGCCATCTTTCCTCGGTTTACCCTATATGACCCGAGCAAACACCACTCATAACCTGAACGTCCCGCAGTCCAGGCGAGATTTAAATTTGCGTTTTGTGACATATCTTGCACCTAAATTTTACAATTTGGTTCCTGCTAATATCAGAAATAGGTATTGAAAATGATAAAAAAATTTAATATTTCGTTTAAAATGTTCTGTTGGGAAAATCGTGAACAATTTATGCGTTTATTTTAAGTTGCTTTGAGGTAGATTGATCTGCCTATTTGTTTCTTCTCTTTCTTTTTGATATAATTGTGATACTTTTTTCTGTGATCTCAAGTTAAATCTATGACTTACAACAAAAATATGAAATTTCCTTTCATTTTGTCTATATCGTGTTTCACGTTTTGTTGGTATTGTTGAGTGCTTTTATACAAAAATATATATTGCATGATATTTATCAATTAATTACTGTTTTGTACTGTTTTTGCGCATACAAGTTTTTAAACGAAGTCGGTACGATTGGTTGATATTTGTCTACTGTTTTTTCGTCTTCTCGAGTTTATTTTCCAATATTTGGATGTCGCAGACGTTTTAATCGTACGAGATTCCGAAAACAGACGTATATTACATATATTAATACTTTTAGAAAAAAAGTAGACCGGATTGTGTTTGGCTTGTAATATTTTTTTAATAATTCTGAAAGTTGAGTTCTTTGATAGAGTAAGGGCGGTAGGTTGAATTTGTCCATTATGCGTTTCTAAAGGGTTTAAATATTCGGGGTATTGGACTATATTGTTTTCTACATCACATAGGCAGGCAGGGAAATAGTTATCAGACTTTTCATATTTCACAGGAGATACAATGACCGTATTTCATGTCTGAATAAAGCACTGGTTTTTCTACAATTTCTTTAGGTGTCGAAAAAAGTTGATGAAATTCCAGAAACACCATGTCGGATTATAGCAGATAATTTTTGAAAACATATATCTTAGGTGTGTAAATTATTTATCAACAATAATAAAAGACATCCGAAATTTTATTTGTGATAATACGCCCAAGTTTTCGATACGCCATCAAATTAGGTACCTCTTGGAGCCGCAGAGGATATTTATAAAATTAAGTGAGCTAATCCACAGAGGTAATCCCTCTTTTCGGGAGTGATAGGAAAGAGGAATCTCTAACACAACGTGAAAGTTAAATACACAAAAAATTGGAAATCAACCAATTTCAATTATTTCTGTGTGGCATAATTCTTTTTTCGCGTCTAAAATTTGTATCGTTGTGCATAGAATGAAACTATATGAAATATTCATTGACGTTCTGTATTTATTAACCATAGCAAACATAATGCTATTTTGTGGTACTGTTATCTGCACATTGTGTTTAACCACTAACTTGAGGTAATTAACTTGTAGTACATTAAACACGCTTATTATCACAAACAAAATTTTGGATATCTTTCATTACTGTTGGTTAATAATTTACACATCTAAGATATATGTTTTCAAAAATTATCTGCTATGATCCGACATAGTGTTTCTGAAATTTCATCAAAGTAATATACAAAAAATTATAAACAATCATACGTATACCGCTGGCTTCCTGTTTGCAAGCTTAAATTCTCTAGGGCGTGCGAAAAACTGTTTGATCGCAATAAAAGTACACATAATGTGAAATAGCATGTAGTTCTCCAAATAAAAAAAAATAATAGCAAAAAAAGGGGGTTTGTGGATTTGAACGTACGTCCTGCGGTTCAGCAATCGCCCCTCTTTCCC